CCCCCCCCACCCCTTCCCGCCCCTGAGGCGAGGGGATACAATATTATGTGTTAAATTGTGCCTTCTCGACTTGGGTGCGAGGATCCTGTTTCAGAATCACCGAAAGTTTAATAAGACGAGATAAGAATATTCGAGGTAAACGATCAGGTAGTAGAAAGCTGCGTTTTTAAAGGTTTGTCAACTTGCTACCTATAATACGCTTACGAATACCCCAACATACCTGCCACTGTAGATCTACTGTCTACCTACTTAAGTCCTTTCCACACTTGCCTTGGCCCGATAGAATAGACTAGCGCTAACGATGTTACCTCAGCAGAGACTGTGCCACCATTTCGGAAATTCACGGTGACATTAAAGATGGTTCCGGTAGGGAACGGGATAGAGGGTGCCCACGCCCCTCGTGACTCATTGGAACAGAGGAAGATAGGACTGACGCTTACAGTACTTAAACGCAATCCAACATCATCATTCATCATCACCATTATTTCTAAAATCATCATTGCTCTCATATTCCTGACTTTGAATTTCTATCTGTAACAGTTACACGTTATATTAAGTATGTACATAATACACTATTCGACACCAGTGGCGGTGGGTGGACCAAAATTTAGGTGAGGCTTAGACTGCTTCCAGTTCTTTACCACCAAATGGCAAGCAATAAGAATTAAACAGTGATGATTTTTCAATACTCACGCACGGTGAGCCACGGCAGTTTGAGAACCATTCAAAAGTGTGATGAAAAAGTTGCCTTACAAGTAGTTCCACCTGATTTATAACTGTTAAATCACAGCGGCACAAACACAAACATGCACACACAACACTTCAAACATAATACTTCTATGAGCTGGATTAGGCCGTGTAGTTGAGAAAGTTGAACGCACCCAACAAAGAACCAATGAGCGCATAGGTATCTGTGTCAGTGGGGGAAAGTGTGTCGTAAACTTTTCACTCCATTGTCATGGCTTGGAGAGCGTGAGCCCTCGGTACAGTGTTATTTTTCCCAGTATTCTACCTTTTTACAAGAAGAGTTTCATTAAGGACGGGCTGTGGGAAAAGGGCTCATCTTTGCTGAGCCCTGAAGACATTTGATTGGCTGCTGGGTTACTATAGTTGTAAGCGGTGACAACAGTGATTGGATAAGCGAGCAAGCCGCCAAGTTGATCACTCTGTGTTCATTTCGTGCGGTCATAACGGTTTCAACTGCTTATTTCATTATGGAGAAACTTTCATTTACTTTGGGATATAGTTGGGGGTGGTGGGTGGGGAGAGGGTAGGGGCTCAAGTGAGCCCTGCACTACCCACCGCCACTGATTCGACCCTATCATACGCACGTTTTCCTACTACACATGTAATCAGATGGCGCCAATCTCTTATAAATGGGCAAGGGATAAAAAGAAAAGAGTCATTATTTTCCAATTCCAACTTTGAATAAAAGTTGTGAGCGTCCTCTCGTTGTTCAGTTTTGTTCAAAGCTGTACAGACAAATGCAAGCCGGTGCCGGAAACACAATGTTTAAAAGAAATGTGTATGTGTGTGTGTGTATGTGTGTGTGGGGGGGGAGGGGAGTAGGGGGTGTCACTGGCCATTAAGCAGCACATGATAACCCTTGCTCAAAGACAGGGCGCTACTCAGTAGCAACCAGCCACAATGTGTGGCTTGTCTAGGTTTGTGATAATAAATAGTGTGTAATTCATGCATTTCTATACACAAGCATTAATTGTGAATTAGGTACGCCATTATTCCAAAGAATTAACAGCAAGACTGTCTTTATTAGTGTCGACTGTTGTGGCAGTCTAAGCCCTAAGCTCTTTGTTGTCTTGCTAAAGGCACACGACCAGTTCGTTTAATCGATATGAAACCTTTCCCCGCCCCCCCCCCCCCTCTCTCTCTCTCTCTCTCATTCACTCTCTCTCTCTCTCTCTCTCTCTCTCTCTCTCTCTCTCTCTCTGTATATCTATCTGTTTATCTATCTCTCCTTCTATCTCTGTGTCTCTCTTTTTCTTTCCTTTTATACCTCACGGTGTCAAGGCGAGATGCAGTTGTCGGACGTGGGTCAGGTGTGTCACTGTTTGGATTGTCTTTTTAAGGCTCTCTTTTACTCATTCAATCCATATTTTTCTCCGCCTTCATTTTTCATTGAAGTCATTATATCGTAAAGCTGTAGAGTTTGGAGGCTGGTTGTTGAAGCCCCATTCTCATTACGTGTCCAAACCACCTTTTGTTGACGAATCAAACGTATTATACCACAACTCCATGATATCAGGAGACCCAAAAATTTCTAAGGCAATAAACGCTAAGCAACATATTTATAGATCTTCATTTTTTTTCAACTGTCCAATATCAAGCCTGACCCTCCCGTCAATGATCAATCGTGTAACTTCTAAGGTCAAGAGTGAATAACCTGCCAACGTTCATTCTGTACTAAAATGTATGCACAGTACGGATAATGAGACAAGATTCGCTCATCCTCACAGATGATGGAATGGACATATTCCGTGACAAAAAGAGCTCAAAGTACAATAATATTGCAGGAAATACTCAATGCTTCATAGCTTTATGTTTCGCGCGCGTGTGTAATAACCAGTCTCTCTCTCTTCTTCCCACTCATTCTCTCTCGCTCTGTTTCAATCTCTCTCTCTCTCTCTCTCTCTCTCTCTCTCTCTCTCTCTCTCTCTCTCTCTCTCTCTCTCTCTCTCTCTCTCTCTCCCTCCCTCTCTCTCTCTTTCTCTCCCTCCCTCCCTCTGTATACATGTTTATGTGTGCGTGTGTATAAATGAATGTGTGGTGAGGAGGGGAAGCGGGGTGTTGTGGAAGGTGGTATTAGCACAAAACGATAACAGAAATGCTTTACTACAAGGGCTGTCCCAGAATTAACTAGAAGTGGCAATAAACTGAAAGGCTTTGACAAGATTGAGAAACAACTGACATAGGTTGTTGGCTAAACATTCCCTTTATTTCTTAACGTAGTCTTCATGAACAGTCAAGTTTCTTTCTCTTCGGTGCTTGAGTAAATACATGCAAATAATGCAATCCTTGTACAATTTACCGTTAAGCGGAGGAAGCCAATCTCTGATTCTGCACCTTATGTGATCAGTGATTTTCTACTCGGATAGATATTTATCTGCACTTGTCCAGACAGACGGAAATTTGAAGGGACAATACCAAGACTGAATCAAAAAGATTTTATTAGATTAGGTTCTTGGAAGTCACCAGCTGGCTCAGGTCCCATGTTGCCATGTGCATTTTTGCCTGCATCGTTCCAGAAATGCAATGCAAACATCGATGTACCGTGCCTTTTGCAACGAAGAAGCCGAATTATAGCTCTAATCTCTCTCTCTCTCTCTCTCTCTCTCTCTCTCTCTCTCTCTCTCTCTCTCTCTCTCTCTCTCTCTCTCTCTCTCTCTCTCTCTTTATTTATTTTTTTAAAAACCAATTTTGTGTAAGGTTTACCATCTTAGTTTTGAATTAGTAAAGTGGTTGCACTCATTTTTTATTCCATTATAATTTTACACCCAGATCATGAATCCCCAGAACTACCAAAAAGCTCTTTACAGTATTGAAAAGACTATTAGAGAGATATTTAGATATGGCCATTTTCCTGTTTATTCTGTATCATTCCTCCTAGCTTTGATGCAAACACCTCCATATAGCAGGTTTTCTTCACTCATAGATGAGAGAAGACGAGGTCTTGGTTAAACAGAAGGAGAATTATTTTGTTTTCGTTTGTTTATACCATCTTCATTAATTTCGTTAAAACAATAATTGTTTAATTAAGAAAATGGCACAAACATATCTTTGTCATATCAAGCCGAGGCTCCTTTGAGCTTTTTATCAACCATAGACAAGAAAATATTTCTATACCTTGAACTTGCGTAGAGGTACAAAAACATGTTTACGCAAGAATTGATGCCTCCCACAAAGTAAACAACACCGAAAAGGGTCCAGTGGATGTTATGGTACCGACGATTCACAGCAAGCTCTTCAATAAACCGTCGAGCGTACACCATTGCCACCTGAGGCAAGGTGCAAAAAATAAAAACAATAGCAACCAACGTCACCAGTTTCACAGCACGTCTTTCTTTCCCACACAGTGTTGAACTTTTACTTGTACCCGCATGTCTGCTTTCACTCTCAGGACGAACATTGTAATGTGACTGTTCCTCTGTTGTGCCATCTCTTTTTGAAGTTGGCAGGATCTTAGAAGGGGCGACAATGTGTTGAGTGCTATTACTTGCTCCAGCGTTCCTTTTCGTATTGGCTTTGCTTCGAAAGTTTGACGTTGATCTTAACCCTAACATCATAACGTAGGCACACATGATGACCGTCAGGTGGGATACAGTGGGTATGATGATGCCGTTAACGGTATTACTGACTACTTCCACCTCTTTACGGATGTCGGAGAACCAGAGCACAAGTTTTGTCCCATTCACTTCAGAGGCTGGAGCCCACCCGAGCCCGTGTGTAGCGTAGACAGGGAGGTAGCAGCTCACGATGAACGCGTAGATGAACGAGATGATCTTGATGGCTCTCGCAAGTGTGATGGTACCTATGGGCAGTAAAATAAATAGATATAAACAGAACTAAAAGTGATGTGTTTGACTTTCTCTAAAACCGGTGAAGGTGTCAAGAGGGCACTGTATTTTGTAGGTACCTTTTCTTTGAAATACCTCAGTTGCTTCCCTTTGTCTGTTCTCTTTCCCTTCAACAAATGCCAGCCTACGTATCGATGTTTTTCTAGTCTCTTTTCTCAATCTTAAATTCAAACTAATAAATAGTTACAAGGTGGCTTGCCGTCTCCAGAATATAAGACATTTTTGTATTCTAGAAAAGACAGTTTACGGAATTGTTCCCAACCCCGTCTGAGTTCTATGGATTCACGACAATCAATAGATATTTAATACAAAGATGTGACGTATCCAAAATTCTCAGATAGCTGAGATGAAAAATTTAATGAACTGACAAGTCAATGGAGTTATTAGGAAATCACGTTTGTCCTCAGTCAGAGTTGGTTTTAAAGGTGTTTAGGAATAAAAAGAATTATTTGAATGTTTTGTCTTTTTCATCCAAAGCACGTATTACAGAGCCACCACAGAAGAACGAGTTGGTCACTTATGGAATGAGCTACTAAAATTTATTAGCCTGTCATACGAAGAGATGTTCATGTTGATTTGCTATTGAGGAATCGACCTTTTAGAAAAGAGACCAGCCACGACAGTATATTCAAAATCAGAATAATTTTGCTGTTTTCTTCAATATCAATCTAAACTAGTCAGCCAACCTTTAAAATGTAGAGGAATGATCACACAGAGACATCGCTCAAGAGAGATGAAGACTGTCGTTAGCATGGAGATGTCCAGAAACATTGCACGAGGCCAAGCAAAACCCACGTACATCACAGCAATCCAGTCGACCATCTGGAAAAACCAGCACAGGGAAATATTTTGAACGACCCCCCCCCCCCCCCCCCCCCTTTTATGCTGTTTACAATATTTTTGTCTGAAACGAGGAACCTTCAAAATAAAAACTAATCTTATTTAGAAATCATAGTAAACAAACTACCACATCATCCCTTCGCAAGACGGCTCTTGTGGTCTAGAGGCACAGTGTTCACTTTTCATCCAAAAGGTCCATTATTCCAAAGCAAGACTGTCTGTATTAGTGTCGACTTTTGTGGCAGTCTAAGCCATAAGCTCTTTGTTGTCTTGCTAAAAGCACACGACCAGTTCGTTTAATAGATATAAAACCTTTCCCCCGTCTCTTTCTCTCTCTCTCTCCCCCCCCCCCCTCTCTCTCTCTCTCTCTCTCTCTCTCTCTCTCTCTCTCTCTCTCTCTCTCTCTCTCTCTCTCTCTCTCATATATATATATATACATAAAATGTTCTCCTTTCACCTTATTTGGGTTATCTAGCCATGTTCTGTCTTCGGCTTTAATACCCACTACCTCCATCCCTCCAACCCCTGGCTGGCCAATCTAGGACGTCTCTCCGTTGCTCCTCTTTCTACTGCTACCCCTGGCTCCTTCTTACTCTTGTCTTTCATCCACACACTGAACTTAGGGTTGGTAAGATCAAACACCTAGTCGACTCGGGAAAGAGCGAAAATTCTCGAAGGTTCTGTGGGCATCTTGCGCACATTTAAGATCCCTCGTTGGTTTTTGATTCGATAAAAGTAGGGTTTAACCGCCTCGGCAAAAAATTAAAATAAATGCCTACCAAAACTGAAAATACTCTAAGCGGTATAAAAACATACAGAGTGCCTTCGAAATCGGAATGTGGCTGCACGAAGACAAGGGGCACTACCAAGTAGAAAAAACGGTCACGTACGTAAAAATCAGTTGCACCGCAGGCTGAAGAACTATGCTTTCTAGATCTAGCAGGAAAATGCAAAGAAGTAGATTCCCCGGGGGGGGGGGGGGGGGTTGAGCATTAGGAACTGATTTTGCTGAGTAAAAGTAAGCCTAAACTGCTGCTACTGAATTTGATTCTAATATTAGCCCCGCGCCACTTCAACTCAGATAAACAATTAGTTTGAGGTTATTTTGTGGAGATGAATGTAAATGTAAAATGGAATTTGAAGCGCAAGCCACCAATAACACTTTTTGCTGTGCCTATTTAAAAAATATACAAAGTTAAGGGATGTCTTGATAGACCCCCATGCGTGTCTCTTGTAACCTCTGGCTTTTCAGTCTATCATGAAAACTAAATTCTTTCAGATTTCAATGACACCGTCAAAGAAGTAAACTCATTTTAAAGGGTGGGAGCACACCCTAAAAGTCCGGATTCGGCTCAAAAGTATAGATTTTGAGTTGTAGGCATTTTTATCTTCTTCAGAATGTATTACAACTATTTCATCGCATCAGAACCCCCTAAAGCCTTATTTCTTCCCATACCTGCCATGCTTGTCACCACCATTTCCTCATAAAAGTAATCTTTTATTTTTCTTTATCGCCAGTTTTCTCAAAACACGTTTTGTTTTTCTATAAACTTTTTTGTTTAACCACCAACTTTTACCCAATCTTAATGAAATTTTCACAGAATGAAGAAAAGACGTAATACTAAAAATGAATGTGTTGAATGTTGGATATGTGGAATAGATTTTTGTTGATGGAATCTGGAGTGTGGATTTTCACGATTTTTTTGGTGGAAAATTGAATACTACTTCAGAAAAAAATTCAATGAAAATTTTATAATTCGTTTAGGAAAATTTCAACAAACAAACTGGCAGATCTAATGTTTGCTAACATGTATGCAAAACAACAATCTATTTCCATGAAAACAAAAGTGCGGCTTTCATTACGTAAGGCATGTCAATAACATCCAATATGACCGCCGTAGCCTAGGAAACGAAATTGAAAAAAAAAATCAAATTTGATTGCGGATTTTGAGACTCCTTACTATGCTTGTTATGTGTGAAATCTGGTAAAAATTTGATCCACTAATAAGTAAGATAGCCTTAAGGTGTAGCCCCCCACCCTTAAAGGAAACGATCATGATCATGTGTAGTCCTGTAAAGAGAACATTAGGTTATGAACCAACGGTATAATAATATGCATGCATAACATTCAAAAGAAATCAACACATAATCTTGGCCGCCCCTCTTTTTGTCGCTTCCGGCTAAAAAGCTTTTTCTTTTTCTTTGTCTGTCTGTCTGTCTGTCTGTCTGTCTGTCTGTCTGTCTGTCTGTCTGTCTGT